TAAAACTAAGATAAATTTTTAAAAATAAATTTTTAGAAACTACTATAACTTACTTTAATATAAACTGGTATTTAAACTAAAAATTATCATTAAATTGAAAATTAAATTTATTTATTACAATATTGTAGTCAATATTTTGACCAACAAAAAACAACAAATTTTTATTTCCAAATAATTATATACAGTGTATATAATCGCTGTATATATATATATATATATAATCAATCAATTGATGGACAACCAGATATACCACTATATAATATACTGATATACAGTATATAATAAATTAGGAGTGTTTTCTCTTAAACATTGATTGATAAATGCATTTTTGGCTTTAATCGGTAAGCTATGTGTCAAATATATATATATATATATATATATATATATATAATATTATATACATTGTGTGTATATATTGATATATCAAAACAACACACATATATACTACATATATACTGTATATATAAAATATATGACACTAATATCTATTTTATCCATAGTTAATATATGCTTGAAAACATACATGTATTATATTACTATACATTGACACACACAGACACATATTGACTAACATATATTTTATGTATAAAAATGTGAGATAAATAAATAGGTATTAATTTTGAAGGACCGCAACATAAGGATAGTGAGTGAGAGTATGAATGTATGTATGTATGAGAGAGAGAGAGAGAGAGAGAGAGAGAGAGAGAGAGAGAGAGAGAGAGTTGAGAGACCACTCGTGTTTGAAGTCATCGATATTGAGACCAATGGCTTATCTCATATGCCTATCAATGATATATAAGATTTATACACACATTGAATAAATCTTAAACTATAGTATATAAGAGATACAGTGCCCTAAATATATATATACCGTATATACTGTATATATATTGAGAGATAGAGTACAAACTGAAACTTTTATTTTTTTTTGATACTTTTGTATGCCTTATATAACTGAAAACCCATACATACTGTACAACTACTACACATACAGACCAACCAACATACCCGTGCTTTTCCTATCACTGAATGTTTCATACGATATAAATCATGATTGAAGTGAAACGCAAACACAAATCGATATGTGTTTTGGGTTTTTCTCTCTTTCTTTATATATATATATATATATATATATATGACTCGTCGATAGTCTCTATAAATCAAGTGTTGTTTGTATGGATTTTTGCAGACATTTCTCAAATACAACTTTCACTTGACTTTAATCTCTATTCTCTCTCTCTCTCTCTCTCTCTCTCTCTCTCTCTCTCTCTCTCTCTGACTCTTTCTTTCTTTCTTTCTTTTATAATAAAATAGTCGTCTCTTTTATACAACTATTGTCTAACTTTTATAGTCTCGTCTCTTATGTGTTAAATCGATCGCATTATTATAATTGAAGTTAATTTTTAGAGTAGAGTAGAGCAGAGAGAGAGAGAGAGAGAGAGAGAGAGAGAGAGAGAGAGAGAGAGAGAGAGAGAAGAGAGAGAGAGAGAGAGAGAGAGAGAGAGAGAGAGAGAGAGAGAGAGAGAGAGAGAGAGAGAGAGAGAGAGAGAGAGAGAGAGAGAGAGAGAGAGAGAGAGAGAGAGAGAGAGACCAATAACTTCAACATAGATAAGCCATTTCACTGGTTTGGCATACAATTTCATACTTAAAGTTTTTAATTAGAAAATTAGATAAAAGATTGCGATAACAATGTGTGTGATATATACACACAGTATATATCATATATATATATATAATAAAGTTTAGGATATTTATATTATAATATATACTGTAATTTATAGTGTATTGTATAATACAGTAATACTCTGTATATTATAGATTAATTTTTTTTGTGACTTTTATTTTCACTCTAACACTGTATGACAAAACTGTGTATTTTTTTTATATAAATTATATATGGATTACATAACAAATTTCTGATGACATATAGTTTGATAATAAATAAGAAAAAAAATTAACTAAAAATGCAATTTTCATTACTCTCTCTCTCTCTCTCTTTCTTTTTTCTCTAACTAACTAACTATTTATTTATTCATACATTAAATAATCTATTAATTTACTTATAGTAATACAATAAAGTTTATTTGAAACTATTTTTTTTATTCACCAATTTTTATGTTTAAAAATTTTTTTAAGTTTGTTATCCTCTATGACATACACACACATCGATAATGATATGTCTCTCTATATTACTATGAACTGTGCATTTCTTAAGGGCTTAAAAATGTGTCTATAAATTGATTAATTTTCTCTCTTTGCTCTCTCTCTCTCTCTCTCTCTCTCTCTCTCTCTCTCTCTCTCTCTATCACTCACTCACTCGCTTTATCTCTATATTTGCCAAAAATAAATAACTCATTCATTCATTTGGATTAATGTGTACTCTATTGTTAAATATAGTGTATATTTTTATATACTATCAGATATTTAGATAGTATAGCATATATAATATAAATTGCATAATAAATATATAACTTCTAGTAGTATATACTGTATATATAGATATCTGATTTTATTATAACACACACATACACACACACACACACTATAACATTATATTATGTGAATATCAATAGTGTTTTTAGGGCACTTGTGAACAACTTGCGATATAATCAACAATATATACAGTATATTATAAATACAAGTATATATATAAATTATATATAGTTATAAATTCATAAACTATAAAATAATATGATAGATAGTATAATCTAATTTATTTTTCGGACACATATAATTAATCATAAATTTTGTTTAACACACACACACACACACACATATATATATATATATATATACACTATCATATGCACACATAGTTTACTATAAATAATACTATGTATGGATAACTAAAAATATACAAATATTATATATACATTATATAAACACTATATATCAGTAACATTAATGCCTTAAAACACACAATAAATAATCATACAGTTGACTAAATAATAATAATAATAATAATATGATATTTTATTAAAAATAATAATAAAAATGCTTTTAAACCACAAATAAATAGATATTCACTGCATTTTATAGACATATATATATATTTCATTGAATGTATCAAAAATAAAAAAAAAACAAATCTCAAATTTACAGAATATTCTGTAAACTAAAATAATAACAATAATAACTATACGAAAAATAGCAGTCAATAAATATCTCCATATATTTGTGTTGTTTAGTTCGTTAACCCCATCATCGACTCTATAGTCGATAGTTTTGTACCAAAATATATATACATTACTACAGTACTACTGTATTGTTGTTTTAAAAAAAGGGGAAATGTATGTTAAAAATATGAATTGCATTGACTTTATTGTTTAGTCAGTCATTCAGTGAGAGAGTGAGAGTGAGTGAGTGAGTGAGTGAGTGAGAGAGAGAGAGAGAGAGAGAGAGAGAGAGAGAGAGAGAGAGAGAGAGAGTACTGTAGTATTACTGAGGATTTTAAATGAACTGCGAATTGAAAAATCAATTGTTTAGTTGTTTAGTATATATATATATACTGTATATTATATTATATATGTTTTTCTCATGTCTACAGTATATTTAACACAACTAATGTATATAACTGTGTATAACATCTACACAAAAAAAATTTAGTTATTCATAAAAAGCTTTATTGTTTTACTGAAGATATTTTTTGGGTACCAAAAAAAACTATAACTAACAGATAATTTAAATAATACAGTAAAACAAAAAAAAAATTGTTTAAAAGATATTTGTTTCAAACAAAATACTAGTATTATTTGTATTATGTTTTTTGCAGTATATATACAGTATATATATATAAAATTGCTGATGAGATACAAATTAGGTATCAAATTTTTTTTGATCGTTTTTTTAACTATATTTTTGTTGCTGAGCACTTAAGATAAAATTATTTTCAACATAAAAAAACTAATTTTTTAATTTAAAACTAATTGATTTTAACTTTACAATATTCACTTAATGTATACTTAGATTAGTATTAATTATTTATAAATTAATTAAAACTATTTTTTTAATTTTATTTTTGACAAGATCCTTTTTGAAATTAACTTTTTTTTAAGAATATAATATAAATTAATGATATAATTAATTAAATTTTTTTTAATTAGTTTGTCTATTATATAATTTTTATTGTTAATTTAATTATCTAGCTAAACTTTTATTTTTAGTTTTATAAATTTATTTTTTAAATGTTTAATATTATTATTAAATAAAATGTATCTATATAATAGTTTATTATTATTTTTTTGAAGTTAACAATATAACAAACAAAAAAAACAAATAATTATAATAATAATAATATTTATTTATTTATTTTTAAAGTAAAGGTTTCATATAATAATTATTTATTTACATTATTATAAACATAACTTCATAATTATTTAATAATATATTATTATTATTATTTAATTAATTATAAAAACCCTGACTTATCCCAACTATACTATTACTCTCAATATAACTGTTTTAAAATTATAATTTAATAATTATATACATTTATATAAATATTTATAATAATTATAATATAAATATAGCACTTAATTATTTACATACAGTATACAAATATGTTAATAATAATTATCAATAAATAAAATATAAAGAAATTAAAAAATTAATATTTAAATAAAACAATTTTTTTTAAAAATGTAATGAAAAACAATGTGTTTGTCTTAAAATTTTCACACATTTATAATAATAATAATAATTAAAAATTTTACAAATATTTTTATTTATTTAATATAATCAATCATTCATTAGTTTTATATTTATATATAAATATATTTACAGTACAATCAATATGATAGCGAGGTTTACAAAATAAATATAACCTAACAAATAGTTTAAGCAAATTATACACAAAAAACACATAAAAAACTTTATATATATATATATTATTTTATTATTATTAAATAAAAACATTTAATTATCAGAAAATTTTATCATTACTTTTAAACAACAACAACAACAACAATAAAAATCATTTAATTTTTTTTTGTAAATTTCAGTTATCTATAGCCGTAATCGTAATCAAAATTATCTCTCGAGTTGTTTATATAGCTATAGTGGTGTTGTTGTGGTTGTTGATAGGGTTGCTGTCGTTGTTGGCGATTGTGATGGCTATGATGTAGCCGATGATGTGGTAGGCTATTGCTAGTGACCATCATTGCCGATGTTGGCGGCGGCGGCGGTCTCGGCGGTGGTATGTTATAGTGATGTATCACCGATTGTTGGTTACGATTGTTGTTGTTGTTGTGATGGTTGACTGTATTGTAATGTATGGGCCGATCATAGAAATGATGTATCATTGGTGCAGTTGTAGTGGTAGTGTTGGCGGTGTTGTCCGGCGATGAACTGCCGGCTGTCGGTACCGATAGCTGATCGTCATCGATGTCGTCGTCGATGTCATCGTCGATATAGCTCCGGTAGTCGTCACTACATAATAGTGGACTACCATCGAGTTGTTGGCTGGAAGTGTTGGACGACAGTTGGACGCACTGAGACATTGCCGACGATATTAGCGGCGATTTTTGAGGGGTATAGATGTTGGCACTGTTGTTGTTGTTGTTGTTTTGGTGGTGATGTTGTCGATTATGTTGATTATTAATACCATAGTCCATGTCGTTGATGGACAGTGCAGTTATGCACCGGCCATTGCGTCTATATATATATATCATATGTATTAATTTATATATTAATTTTTTGTTTTATATATAATATATAAAAATTAGCAATTATTATACAAATAATATTTCTAGAAAATTACGGTAAATAATCAGTCACTAAATTTTTTATCATTAATTAATTTCTAACTAATATTATAAATATATGCAAATAATAAAAAATTTAATATAATATTACTAGAAATTTACGATAAATAATCAATCACTAAACTATTTACTACTAATTAATTTATAACTATTATTATTATTGTTGTTAATATATTTAATAAAAAAATTTTAGGTATAACTAAATTATATTTAAAAATATATTAATAAATTACAAATTAATAAATTTTTATTTTTACCAACAAATAAAACACTAACAGAAATTTATTGAATATATTATATTAATTACTGTTATAATCACATTAAAAATAAAACTTAATATTTAATATATACTGTATATATTTATATAATTAATAGACACTGTTAAAAACCATATATATATCAAAATATATATATATACATATATTGATAGGTATACTAGTTAATATTGATTGTATAAATCAATGATATTTTTACTGATAAGCATAACCTAAACTAATAGCTGTTTGTATTGTTTCAGTGGTACAGTATTTTCACAATTAATGAAACTAAAAGTCATGGGAAAACACATACACACAATGTTTCCACATTTGTGTCGTTGTTGTTCAATACCTCCCTGTGCTATACTATACAATATATATATATACAGTATATATTGATATATTTATATAATTAGATACTAGTCTAACGGTTATATAAATAGAAAGAGTAAATTCCATATTAAATAAATGCATGTATGGATGAAAATGTATAGTTAGGATAGAGAGCACTGGTAGATATTGAGCACTGGTAGGTAATATATTGAGCACACTTACATCATCGATCGTTGTTCATCAATAATCGGCAACTGATTAATTAAGGCAAACGATGCCGACTTTTGCTTATGACTGTCCATCGACTGTATGGACGGACTGTTGGCCACTGAGGACGAGAAACGGGTTGTAAAGGCTGTTTGTCCGTAGGTTTGTCCACCACTACCGATACCACTGCTGATCAATGGATTAGCGGCACCTATACTACCGGCACCACCGCATCCACCGATACCTCCCTGTGCGTCGACCAGATGTGCCCGTCGAGCACTCAGACCATTGACTCCGTGTATGCCTTTAAGCTTACGTTTGGCCGCACAGATGACAACAATGACTAGACTGGAGGCCAACAAAAATACGACAGCACCGGCACTGATGGCCACTATTATAAGATTTTCATCAGACAATAGTGTCTGTACCCAACCTGAAGGAGCTATAAGTGTATATCAAAAATAATAATTAATAAATAGTCTAATAAAATAATATTATAAATAATTAGAAATAAAAATATTAATTAATATAAATTTATTATTAGATATTTTTTTGTGTATACTATTAATATATAAAACGTGTTTTAAATTATATGATTTTAAGACTATTGATTTAATTCATTACAATAATTATTTTATACATATATATATAAATTTTTTGAAATAATTTTTTTAAAATAAACTGTAATAAAAAATTAAGTTTTTTTTATTACAATAATATATATTTTGTTAGCAAATAAATAATTGGGTAAAACATATACCATGGGTATTTACAATCAATATTATTATTATTATAAATTTTTTTAGTTAGATATTTAATTTTAATATCTAATTAAAATAACTAATATTTTTAAATTTCTAACTCATTGACTCACTCACTCACTCTCATTAAAATAAAATAATTAAAACTAATATATTTGAATAATTTTTAAATACAAATTACTTTATAATAATATTTTAATTATTAATAGTGGACTGACTATGAATATGTGTCGGTAGAGTACAGTTTATATTAAAAAGGATTAGTAGTCTATTAACAACAAAAAATTATAATGATTTCCGGCCAATAAATTTATATCATAATATATTATATATATATATATATTATATGAATCAACTAAACTGTATGTGCCGGACATGTATATGCCGACCAACTAACTAACTAACTGTGCCCTATCTATGTGTGTATATGTATTCAATGGGTTGCCATCAACACATCATCATAATTATTATGTGTGTGACAACTAGTGATGTGTAAACCAAAAAATTGGACATTAAAAGTATGACTGAATCGGAGAGAGAGAGAGAGAGAGAGAGAGAGAGAGAGAGAGAGATGAGAGGAAAGTAAGATTGAGATCCCGGAGTCTCCGGAAAATATATATAACATTATTGTTGTGTCAAAAAGTCCAGTCATTAGTCATACAATTAAATCTTTTTGAAACACATAAATGTGTGTGAATTATAAGTGAAACATAAATTTATTTTATTTTACAAAAAATAAAATAAAATCTCTTTAACACCAAAATGTATTGTAATAATAATAGTTAGAAATTATTATTATTATTATTATTGTAATAAAATTTAATGTGCCGTTAATAATATGGTCATAAAATATTCAAAATTAGTAGCATTTTCTACATATAAAACAATTGTCACATAAAAAAGTTAGTTTTTTATATATATATTTTAATAATTATATTATATATATAGAATAATTAAAGTTTAATAATACTATTATATAATAGTTATCAAAATTTTTTTTATATGTTTTAAAAATTACAAATTAAAAAAATTTATTATTATTTTGATTTATAATATATATTTAATAATTGAAAATTTGAATTAATTATTTTTTTAAAAAAAACTATAACAGAATAATAATTTAAATTTTTTTCTCAAAACTGTATTTTTATATTTTAATATTTTATATAAATATATATATATTTTTAAAAAATATAAATTTAGGTAATAGGATATGAAACGTTATTATTTTGTATAATTGTACTAAAATAGTATTATAATGTTAAAATATAGACTAATTACATATTTTATGTATAATTAAATGTAAATAAACTAATATGTTTGATAACAGTTTATTATTATTATTTTTATAAAATAAAAACATTTTACAACTAATATATAATATATATATATTTAAAATAAAATATAAATAATACACATAAAACACACATACATAGACACACATACACACACACACACACACACACATACATATACACAATGTATTACACATATACACATAGTACATACCACTTGCGATTTGTTGGACATGCAGTTTGCACGGCTGGGACGACCCTATCGTATTAGTGGCTATACAATAGTAGGCATCGACATCATTGTCGGCCAGTACAAGCACTGTCGACTGTTTGCTGCCAACCATCGATGCCGAACTACCTGTGCCACCGATGCCCAGTTCACTATCGCTGCCGCCACCACCACCACCACCACCTCCCGGTCCCAGACCGGCCGGGTTGTTGTCGGGCATTGAACTTTGGACTTCCGATATTGTTTTGTTGCCCTTAAACCAGGTAAAGTTGATCACAGACGGATTGGACTGGGCCTCACACGACAGTATGGGTCGACCCTCGAAACTGTACTCCCGTTTCATTTGGCATTCGGGACGATCTAAATGGATGAGTTCATTGAAAAATAAAAAATAAATAAATATCAGTAAAATAAAATATAAGTAAATAAATAATAATTATTAATATGAATTTGAATTAACTATTAAATATGTATTATATATAAATAGTTTTATTTAATTAAATTTATTTAATTATTTCTAAAAATTTTCATTTACTGTATATTTAAACTAATAACTTTATGTTAATTATTTTTCTATATTTTCTAACTATAATTATAAAAACATTTTAATGAATTAAGTATTTAATATATATTGAGTAATTAAAAAGTCACAGTTTTTTTTAAAAAATAAGTATTATTTTTAAAATTAAAATACATTATTATACTTATAATCAACAAATTAATTAAATTTAAAACAAATATTTAAAAACTATTAAAAATTATTAAATAAAAAAATAATTTATCTTAATTAATAAAATAAAATTTACAAAAAATAAATAAAATCGTTGAATAATTGAAAATAAATAAAGTAAACAAACAATAACAAACAAAACAACAAAAAATCTATTAACTTGACAAATAAGCTAGCATATTTATTTTAATTATATCCAATCATTTATTTTTTAGACTAAATAAAACATTTATAACTTTCATTGACTCTCTCTCTCTCTCATTGTTTGCTAATTTATTGCCACTAATGAGGTTCACATAATAATGTTATGTTTTAGCTTTTATTTTTGTTATTTAGTTTAGTTTGGTTTTCGTATCTTAACAATAATAATATTGTATTTTAGTTTAGTTTATTTTGAGGCCAAACACACACACACATAGACAGTGTAGACACAAATCACACAAATGGACTCTCGTTTTTTGATTGCATTTAATTTAATTAAATTAAAATCTATTTGTTTTGTTTTGTATTGTATTTTTTTGGTGTCATCTTTTAGATAGTGAATATTTAGCAGACAAACAACGTATAGTAAAATATATAGTTTAATATTACTTTATATATAATTATATATAAAATTATATAAAGAATTATATATAGAATTATATATAAATAATAAATATCTGAAATTTTTCATTTAAATAATTGAAGTCAAAAATAAACCTAAAACTAAAATAACAAAACTTTCTGTTTTTTTTTTGGTTTTTATTACTTTTGGATTTTGAATGACATCTAAATAGATGGACAAACATATAGACAGACAGACAGTTGGTTAGTTAGACTGATAGATAGCGAAACGCTATTTGGTATTTAAAAAAACAAAAAAAACAATAAAACAAATTAATTGGACCACAAATACTATAAGATATATATATTGGAAACTATAACATCGATATAAAACAATATACAGTATACAAAAACAATATACAGTATATATATTGTATAAATCAATTGTACAGTTATTTTGTACTGTATTTTTTTTGGTCGACTATTTTCATCTACTGATTGATTGACATTTTAACTATCATTGGTTGGCCAAACATTTTATATGTCAATCTACAGTATAAGCTAATATATATATATATATATATATATATATATATATATATTAGCTAGACAATTTTTCAAATATAAAACTGTAAAAATATTACCAAAATAAAATTAACATTGATAAATTAATTGTTATTAGTATAAAGCATTTAGACTATACAATCGACAGATAATTTTAATTTAATTAAATATATATTTATAAATTTTAATTATTACAAAAATACTTGTTTTGTTATTATTATTATTATTGTTGTTGTCATTTGTTATGACAATTTAATAATAATTATTACAATGATATCTATATATTGTCAAAACAAAATTCAATTTATTTATTATATTTGTGTGGTATCTTAATATACAGCATATATATATATATAATATACATGCATAATAATGGCTAACTCGACAGTGATTGATAGTATAGTAGATATAATAAATTTGATAATTTATATATATATATATATATGAATGGGTTGATTGAATGCTCTCACAAAATGATAATAATGATAAAAACATACAAAAATACAATAACAACAATATATTTGTATACATCATATAAAATATATACAGTATATATATTATTTATCTGTATGCATATAACATAATATCAAATAGACATTTTGACTCTTATATTTGTACTGTTTATCTGATTGTTGAGACAATACTTGACAACAATTTTAGATATCATATATAAATTTATATTCAAATTGATTTCAATCAACATTTAATTTAAGATTATATTCAATAATTAACTGTCAACCACACAAATATATATATATATATATATACATTCATAGATAATTTAAATACATGTATAATTATATTACCGAAATAGTACTTAATTACTAAATATATTTTGTATATAATATTGTATCTAAATAAGTAAAATTTTATTTTAGATAATTTTTAAAAGATATAATAATGTATAAAATAACAATTAATTAATTAATTTGTATATATAGTATATTAAAGTGGACAGTCATATAATATAATTAAATAGCTGGTAGGGTGGGGGTCATATGGGACTATTGTATTATAGTTTATGGGACAGTTAGCTTATACATACTGTATACATGAAACAAGTTAATAATACTTACACAATACGGTAATGGCCACATAGCCGAGTGACTGGCCGTGTCGATTGGTTACCACACAGGTATAGTTACCAGACTGTTCCCGTGTAATACGGCCGCCGGTCGAGTTAAAGGTCAGATAGCGGCCAACAGTGGTTATCTGGTCGGTATTTGATGATCCATGTGTCCAATAGTAATTGGCCATCGGGTAGGCCCGGGCCGTACAGACAATCAGATCGTCGGCAATGGGATCGCCTTCCATGAGCTCCAGTCGAGGGACAGATATCTCGACGTTTTGCGGACCAACTGATATGATTACAACAACAAAATTAATTAATAAAAATTTTATAATAATAATATTAATTAATCAATCAATTAAATAATTATTTTATTTTTTAAGTTAACTAAAATTATATATTAAATATATAAAAATATTTAACAGTTTTTACTTTTGACAAATAAATAATTATTATAAATATAACACACACACAAATTTTAAACTGTTATTATTTTTTAAATAATTAAATAATAGATTTAATTATAACCTTATAAACAAAATTTTTTTACGATAATTAATAATAATAATTATTAATAATTTTTTTAAAATTTATTCAATAAATAAAATCTTTTGAATTATAATATAAAAAATTAATTGATAAGATATATAATCATTTTAATTATTAATTTATTAGAAAGTTCATATGATTAAATAACTGATAAATTTTAAAGTAAATTAATTAAATAAATTCAATTATTAAAATAAAATAATATTCAAATTTATAAACTGTAAATAATAATTATTATTATTTTTATTATCTATTTAATACAAATTATTTTATTTATCAATTAGTATATAAGATAAATGTTATACATAATTAATAATTTTATTTAAATCAGATTAATATTTAAATTAGTTTTTTTTAATTTCAATTAATTTGCATATTTATTTAATAATAAAATTTTAAATATATATATAATATATATATATATTAAAATAAACTCTAATTTTTTCCTAAATTATAAATGTATAAAAAAATTAAAAAAAATTTATAATATTATTTTTTTAAAAATATTATAAGTTTATAAAATATCTAATAAATTACTGATACTTTTATTATGATTGAATTTGCTATAAACATAATCAGTAGCACATAATTAAACATTTACTTTAATTACGTTAATTGCCTTTTAATGATAATATAATTATATTTTTTCCCTATATATTTATATCTCTCTAATATTTTATCTAATTAGTTGTCTATATACGACATAGTAGACTATACTAATGTATAGATAATTTTAATATTTAATAAATCTAATACCAAATAATAAATACCACACAATTATATATAATAATAAATTTATATACAGTATTATGTCGGTATGTATAAACTGTATATCTAACAAATAAGTTTACATTATTATGAACAGCAAATATATATATAGTCTATATATATATGGCTATAAATTATTAATCAGCAGTGGCTTAATGAGCAATATATTCATATTATATATATATATTAATAACTAACTAAACGTATATATTATATGTAAAGTATAAACACTTTATGTTTGAAAATAACTTTAAAATATCTATATTTCACTAAAATATAGCAATAATTTAATTATCAAATAGACTTAAATTTAGCATTTTTGCAATTTATAGAAAGTATTCACTTTCTATATGTTTATTACTTTTCAAATAACTGCCGACTATTTTATGGGTCAAGTATTGCCTAAAATCTCTATATAAGGGTCAGCACTGACCTTACATTTTATGCTTAGATATACCTGTGCTTAACGACTGCAACATATAAACTAAATTGTAATACAATTTCATATTAAAATAAAATGTTTTAATAAAAATAAAATTAGTTTTTTTTAATCTATTGGTGCGTCAAATGAGTAAATGCCGTAAAATTCAACTAATGTTTTACATATATAAAACATATTGAATAGCAAACAATGAATTTTTTTTTGTTATACATTCAATTCATTTATTTGTTGGCTAAACAAAGAAAACTATTTTTTTTGACTAATAATTTTTGATAATACATATAAAATAATAATAATAATAAATCCCAAATCACTTAACCTACCGGTACACCTACTAATGTCATTAATGATTTAGTATTAAAGTACATACAGACTGTGTACAGTGTCATACACATACAGGTGCACTGACCTTAAACTTAGGATAGTTAGATAGAGAGCACTGGTAGTTTATTGCATACACACATAGAAATCAATATTATACAGATAGTAAAACTTCTAATAATAATAATAATAATATGTATAGTCATTTAGTCAGTCAGTCACAATTCAATTAGTAACATTGCTAACTCTTAATAAATAATTAAGCATGGTGATTTTACTAAATACAACACTAAAAAAATCTAATAGAAATACTATTTATATCATATAATATATATATATATATACAATATATAATATATTTCTATTAGTTTTATATTAGTAAAATCACCCAATGGCTTAATTATTTATGGCAATTACTTAAACTCCTGTATGTATGTGTGTGTGTGTGTGTGTGTGTGTATGTGTGTTTGTATGTATGTATGTGTGTTTGTATGTATGTATGTGTGTATGTATGTGTGTGTATTTTATGATTATTACTGTTAATAGATTGGCTAATTAATTATTAATTTATCAATTTAATTGTTTTTAGATAATTGACATAATTAGTTTTACTGTATATTCTAGTATATATAACCTGTGTGTTACCTGTAGTATATTATAAAACAATATTATTTCTATATTTTTTGTTATAAATATATTAGTTAATATATTATTTAATTTTATTTTTAAATATCATTTTAACTGGTTATAAAATATTATATTAAAAATTTTAGTACATATATTGTTATTAATTAGACTAATTAACTATTATTATTATTACTAATTGACTAACTAGATTAATTATTATTATTATCAATACTATTAACAAACTAAATGATAATTAATTAATATTATATCCTATATTAATACTTATAACTAAATAATAATAATAATAATAATAACTATTATTAATAATACATACATTCATGTCTGTAGACGATTGCCGAATGGACAGGACTGCCGACACCGTTATCATCGCTTCGACACTCAATTACATCCCTGTCCTCCAATGCTGTAGTATTGTGAATGTGTAGATACGAGGTTCGGGAGCCGAAAACACCGTTCCGATCGTCTAACGGATGTTCCACTGATTCAATGTGATAGTAGTAGACACTGCCGGCACCAGTAGGAGTAGTAGAATCGCCTACCGGTGCCAGACTATCGTTATTGCGATACCAGTTGATGGCACACAATGGATGACATTCCACACGACAGGATAGAGTTAGGGAACGGTTAGATAGAGAACCGATAGTACGCTCCAAACCCTGGATCAGTCGGGGCGGCGCTGAATACATATAGACAATACAGACAACAAAGATATTAAATAATTTTTTATAAAAATAAATTTTGTAAAAAAAATAATTATATTTTATTTGTTTTAAATAGTTAGCAAAATTGATAAAAAGCTTAACCATATGTCAAATATTAAAAAAAATTAATTATTTAATCAAAATTATTTAAACTAAAAAACTCAAATTATTTGTTACAATTAATAATAATAATAAATTATATTTTAATTATAATTAATTTTAAACTATTTAAAAAAAACTATAAATAATTAAATACTGATTTATTTTTCAATTTAAATTTCACTACTAATGAAAATCAATAATTAAAATTTTTAAATATTCTAATAATTTTTTAGTTAAAAATATGCATTTAATATATTATATATTATATATTTAATAAAAATAATTAATTAATATATTTATCATTAAACAGTTTGTTGAAAATTTGTAAATTTTTATCAAATTTATTTAATTTTTTTGATAACTTTATTTAAAATTAAAAAACTGTAGAAAAATCATTAGAGTTTTTTAGTAAATTAACTTTAATATTAATTACTATGTAAAACTAATAGCCATGAAAAATGTTGATATTTTTATTTTGTTAACTGTAAATATAACTAATTTTACTAATTTATATTAAATTACTTTAAAAAATCAGAGACAATTATTTATTATTTTTGAAAAATATTATAATGTATTTTTTAGATAATTAATTGCTATTATAAATAAATTTGTTACTATTTAATAATAAATAATTAAATATTATTCAAAAAAAAAACAAAATAAAAAACAACAACAAAAACATAAAAAATAATCATAAAATTAATTTTATAGTTTGTATATATTTAAATATATATATATTATTAAATAATATTAGTTTTTAAATAAATAAATAAAAATTTTTATATATTATATTTTTATATTTTTTAATTCAATTGATATTAATAGCTAATACTGTAATTATAAACGACACTTACTTTTGACTTCAAGCCACAGGTGCGCCCACTGGCCCTGTCCTACAGTATTGACAGCAGCGCAGGCATACTCGCCCCGTACGGCCACATCGGCCGGTGCCGTACGATAGACATTAGGCTGATCAGTAGCTAACGGTACTATCGGACGTCCATTGTGTGTCCAAACATAGCTCAGGGCTCCCGGATTGCCCGGATCATTGGTTTCGCATTCAAGTGTAACTATCGTACCTTTGGTAGCATATGATAGGTTGTCACTGTTGGCCATCATAACCGACAGTTTCGCATCGCCCGGTGTGTCTGTATATAACAAACAAAAAATAAATAAATATATTATTAATTATAATATTAATATCTATTAATACCCAGACTTTTCTAATCACACAGATATATACGTATAGACATCAGTCATATATATAAATCTATAGATTAACGCACTGTTATAATCATATACCGATGCTATATGAAAGTCAACTCATCAAAGTCAATGAAGGATAGGTATGTGTGTGTGTATTGACTGATATATATGGATAGATAGGTAAATATGGACAGACAGCCAAAGACATACATAAGCATTTGGTATAAGTATGTGTATATTTTGTGTGGCATTTAATTGGATTAACCATCGGATGATGCAAAATCCTAGGGTGTGATTAGCACTGGTATGTATGTTTGGTGTGTTGAGTACATCATCTATCATATGTGTCTCTTAAATCTCTTAGAAAAAGGATTTTGTTGTTGTTGTTGTTTAGCTAACTGTGCGCTCATAGGAGACTGAGTATTATAAATGATTAGTTGATTTATTTTAGTATTTTATATTAATGAACTTTTATTTAATTATTAAAAATTAAATTGTTTTTTTTGATTTTTTTATTTTTTTGCGAGTGTATGTGTGTGTGTGTAAACTGTATCAATCAATTATTATTATTTTTTAAAATAATTATTAGTATACTATTGTTTTTTTGTTTGTTTTTATTTTAATATTTTTTAAAAATTTAATTCAATTTTTATTTTTAACTAATAATAAACTGTAAATTTTGAATTTTAGTTAAATATACTGGATACATTAAATTTTTACAACTAATAGTTAAACAGTAATGGATCAATAAACTGTATGTGTTTTTTATATAAAATTAATTTTATATATCCTAATTAATTTAATAATTATTATAAAATCACTATATCTATAATATTATAAATTATATAATAATAATAATAAATTAAATCTACTTTAAATTTTCAAAAAAATTTATATTCATTTTTTTAAATATAATAAATTTGTAAAGCGCTTATTTTTATTAATATTTTTTTTAAATAACTAAATTATATATACAGTATATAAATTTATCAAAAATAATTTTATAAAATTTGATAAATGTCATTTTTCATTAATGTCAATAAAAAACCAGTAGACATGTGTGAGTGTGTGAGTGAATATGTATGTGTGTGTGTGTGTGTTTTTGTATGTGTGTGTGTGTGTGTGTGTGTGTGTGTGTGTGTGTGTGTGTGTGTGTGTGTGTGTGTGTGAAAGTATCTGTCAAAACATATTTGATATAAACTTATTGCAACATTATTTTCATTTATAGTATTATTATTAGTAGTAGTTGTAGTATTATATTGAAGTGTGTGATCCCGGAAGCTAATATTATTATTATTATTACTATTTTTTTTATATATATAAATTTTGTTTTATATTTATAGTTTAAAAATCTATTTAGACCTAGACAATATTGGATTTAGTACAATATATCTATAAATGATATATTAAATAATATTTCACATATCTCTCAAATAATTTATTTAATAAATTCAATAACATTTTCAACATTTTATTTTATAAGAGTATTTCATTTATATATATATATATGATTCACTATTTATTTATATTAATATTATAGGTATTTAAGTATATCAATATAAATTTATATATATTTCCATTATAAATCTATGATATTATATATAAAAATTTTGTACTTATTATTTAATTTTTTAGTATACTATATTAATCATTGCATTTTTTTCTATCATTATATATATATTTATTTATATTGATAACAACTTAAGCATCTTTTTTTATTATTTAATCTCTTAATAAATATATAGAGAAACTTAGAAAGAAAAAAATATACGATATATTGTATTAATGAAACAAATATTTATCTATCGTTTTCAATATATTTGATTATTTTTATTACTACTGTATATAAAATACTTTACTATATATATATCATATATATATATATATATATATAGTAATAATAATAATAATAATAAATATCGGCTTATTTATTGAAAGAAAGTCAAAGTTATTTAATAAAGAAAATATTTTAATAATATATATATACTGTTGAAAATACAATTCAATATAATAATAATAATAAACAGTATAATAAAGTACTTATCACTCACTAAAGTGTTTATATACAGTATATTGTTGTTTATAATCATTATATAAGTTATTAGTATTTTTATTGCCATAAGTCACACACACTTTTCTAATATTATATAATATAAATAAAGGTTAATATAGTATAACTTAAAAGATTTATTATTATTATTATTAAATATATTTTGACCTAAAGTTTTTTTTGAAATATAAAATAATAATATATAATATTAAAGTATTATTAATATTAATAGTTTATATTTATTTTCTAATGGATTAATTACAATAATAATAATATTGTTTATTGTAATTATTAATTTTTTAATTTCAAATTAATACAACTATAATTTTATTTATAATTAGAAGTTAATTTATTTAATGTTAATAATTTTTAAAAAAATTAATATATATTTACATTTTAACTTAATTTAAAAACAATTTACTTTATAATCTCAATTTTTTTTAATTATTATTAAGTCTAAACTTTATTTTTTAAAAATTATTATTTTATTTATAAAATTCTTATAAACTTTAAGTAAAAAAAACAGAAAATTTTAAAACATTAAAAAAATAATTAAAGATGAGATGTTAATACATTTATATATATATGTGTATATATATATATAATATCATATATAGTTTTAAGTATATGATATATCTCTCATGTTATAATTACAGTAATATATACAGTAATATATATACAGTAATATATGTCTACAAAATACAGTAAAACAAAACACAAATAAAAAACAATAAGTACTTTGTATATAAACCCCCAAAAAAATTGTGAAACAACTAAAATAAATTTTTTTTTGCAGAAAACTAAAAGTATTTTTTTTATCTAATTATACAATAGTTTTTCACTCCTAACTTTGAAATACATATATATATATATACAGTATATTTATTGTTATAAAAATCTCATTTTTATATCTTAAGACTTAAAATATTATATAATATTATATATATATATAAATATAAAGACATTTATATATATATATCTCTCTGTTAGGTATTAGTTATTCACATCACAACTCATTTCTGTCATCCAAATACCGTCAAAAATTCAGTGATAATAATAATAATTGAATTGTTTTTTATATATATTTATTTTATAAATTATATTATTATTTTCAAAGAGAGAGAGAAAAAGATAAATACTTGGCTTATATAGTGAGTGTTGTTAATACTTAAGACAATGTATTTCATAATACATAAAAAATATAAATAATTTATTTTATATGAAATTTATTACTATTTTTTTTAGCAAAAAAAACAACTTTAAAAAAATATAATTATAAAAACTATAAGAAAATTATTAGTAATTTTTTCTCAATTAAAAAAATCAATTTGTTTTAAAATAAGCGTTATTAGCATAATAATTATTATTAATTGTAAAATAAATTTCTTATTATTAATAATTATTTTTTTAAAAATAAAATATTTGTATTTTTCTACACTTAAAATCATATATTTTTTTAAAAATAAATAAATATAAGTCATATTCAGTGTGAATATATATATATAAATATATTATATATTATATAAGCTTCAAGTGATGTCTATTTTTTATTATTAAATCTCAAGTGTTTAGCGATGAGTCATACCTGTGCCAGATATGGTACAGTAAAACATATTTATAAATTTATAAATATTTTATTAATATTTAAAATAAATAAATCAATATTAATAAACATAATAATAATAATAAAATAAATTGAAATTTTTTATTAACTTATTAAAATATAAATTAAAATAAAATAATCATAATTAATATTCAATTTATAATTATTAAAAAATATAAAATATTTTAAAATGTTGTCTATATAACTAATAATAACTGTAAAAACATTTTTTTTATTTGATAGATATATAAGTGAAATATATATATAAACTTATATTAGTTATTAGATATAATGCAATATAAGTATAGTATATATATATAGGTATTTGACAACAAAAATATATTTCAAAAAAATCAAATAATATTTTTATGTATAATAAATATAAAATATTTTGTCTGAAAATATCAGGTCAACAGCACTGATGATGATATCATTGAATAATAAAAAAATATCAAATAAAATATTTTTAAACATTTTATTTGCAAAAAAGTTTTACTAAAAAAATTATTTTTATTATTAAATATTTTATTAGCAATCGCTTAAAAATCATTTGCATATATAGCTAATAAAATATTTATCATTATATAAATATATATAATTATAGACATTTAAAATAAGTAATAAATAGTTTGATAAATATTAATAATGTATAGTTTAATAAGCTATACTTAATTTATATATATATAAATATTTGAATTATAGACATAAATAAAAAACATATATTATTATAATTATATTATTTAAATGCAATTTCATTAATAAAATATTAATTATTTAAATTATTGATTATTCCCATAAAAATATACATAAAAAAATTAATTTGTTTTATTTTGATTTTTTAAATAAAAAAAATCTCACTTGATTTGCTAATAATTCATGTAATCTATCAAAAATATAAATAAAAAAATTAACTATAAAATATATAGTATATACACTATATATATACAATTTGTAAATTTTTAAACAATTCATAAAAAACAAATAAAAATCAAATCAATTATTCAAAACAAGTACACACACTGTATATACATATTAAATATAAACTATATAATAAAATCTGAATATATTTTTATACTGTATATATATAGTCTATAATATGATATAAATATAGTAAAGTATATACAGTATATATATATATAAAATAATAATAATAATGTTTTATAATATTCATGAAAAACATAATTTTTATGGTGAATAATATAAAATAAAATTTTTATTAACTTTTATCTAACAAATGTTATGTGACACTAATTTTTAAATAGCAAAATATGCAAATTTATATGTATATTATATATATATAATATAATATATTAATATACATTCGTATTTGAGCATGATAATTTTATTTGAGTGCATTGCCATCATTATATTTATATATATGTTTATAGTAATCATCAAAAATTATTGATAATATATAACTAAAAGAAAAACCTAAAATCTAAATGTATTTAAGTTTTATATACTATATATATAATATATATAATCTTAACTCAAATAAAAAAAATCAATTGTAAATTTATATTCAAAAGTGCAAATTTTTAACAAATTTTATTTTTATTATATTATATGACATAAATTTATACATAATTTATGAGTAAAAAATTAAAGTTTTAATTTTCAATTCATCCATTCATTCAAATAAGATAATCACATCAATGCAATCAAATATGTTATATATTATATAACCAAATAATTTTCATATACAGTATATATATATATATTATCTTTCATTTCAACAATTTTTAATGAAACAAATATTATATGATATTATGTTTTATTTGAAATGCATTGAAATATGAGTATATTATAGCATTTGATTTTTTTTTTATATTATTTATGAATTTATATTCATATATATATATTTGACTTTTATTTAATTTAATCATTTGATAAAATTTTTTTTATATCATATTTATTCAATACTTTTTTATAAATAATATATTTTAACCAATATATCAGTATATATACAAAATTTATTCAAATTATATTTATGGGTTTAATCTATTTTTTTTATTTTGATTTTGCTTTTTATTTGCACATCATATTTATGGATCACTAAATTTTTAAATATCAAATAATAAAATTTATTTTCTAAAAAATTTATGATTGTATCAATCAATATACATAAATTGATACTCACAAAAAAAACGGTTTTTATAAATAAAATAAATTTATTATTAATGTAATTTATTTATTTTTAAAAAAAAATTTATTGACTTGATAATTTTGATTTATAAATTTAATCAAAAAAGCACAAACAATATATTAATCAATTTTAATAAATATAATAAAAAGTTATTAAAACTATAATAATAAGTTTTTTTTAAAAAAAAATAAATATTTGTATTCATTACTAAATAACATTAATTTCTATTAATTAATTGATTTAACTATTATTTAAAAAAACTAAATAAATATTGTTTCCAATCAACAGTAAGTAATATTCAATTGTATAAACATATGATTTCAAACAATATATATTTAAACAAAAAAAACAAATCAATTAATACATACATTGGACTAATAGTTGTTTGGCTGGCGATAGACGACTGGCCTCTGCAGCACCGTTATAGCCACGACAGGTATAGTTGCCGGCCTGTAATCGGCTAACGTTTGTCATTATTAGCTGATCGGCAGCGGTATTGCCGACGGCACTGTTAGCCGCTGCAGCAAACTGGTCACTATCGATAGGTTGGCCATTCAAATACCATTGAACCCACGATAGTTTCGGTGGATTACCCTCCAGTGCCAGACACCGGAGCCGTATCATTGAATTGGGCGACTCTATCACTACTGTCGGCTCCATTTCGATGGTCACTACCGGCGGGACTATAATAAAAAAAAGTTTAAAAGAAAATAATTTATAAAATAAATATATTTTTTAATATAAAAAACTAAATTATTAAAATTATAGTTAATTTAATTTAATTTTTTTTGGCAATAAATAATTTTAAAAATTAATTAATTATTATTTCTAAAAAATTACACTTATTAATTATAGTATAATTTTTTCAATATCTAAAAGTAATTATTTACATTTTATTATATTAAATATTTTACTAACTGTAATAAATAAGTTTTTAAAAAACAATAAAATTATTTAACAATACAGTAAGTGCCTATTTTACGGTATAATTTAAATATACATTTTATTAATTATTTTAATTAATTAAATTTGTTATTTTATATTTTCATATATATTTATTAGTAATATTGTTTTAATAATTTTCATTATACTATATAGTATTTATTACTGATATTTTAATGGTTTAAATACCACATTAAATAATAATATAGTTTTTTTAAAATAAACAATATTATAAAGAAAAATTATCAACAACAAAAAAGAATTATACTATTTTAAATAATTTTAAATAATTATAATAATTTTTATGTATTTTTTTGTAATCTTTAATCTATTAATATAACAAATTATAACGATATAATTTTTTTAGAAAAAATTGTAAATTTATATTTGAAAATAATTCAACTAAAAGTTTGCTGAACATCTAATTTTACCTAGTTTAATTTATTTGCATATAATTATCAATTTGTTGAATTTTTAATACCAATCATTATTACTAAAATGTTTACAATTTTTATTTAATAAGTAGTAGTAGATATTATTTTACAAAATAATAAATTTATACCAAGCTTATTTATTTATTTATTTTTTGATAAAAATAAAATTTACGATACATAATAATATTTAATACAATTTACTAATTATTTATATACACAGTATGTTAGAGTTTATTACATATCATGCTTTCTGTATATATATATCGAGTGGTAATATATGAGGGAAACGGTGGGTTTGTATGGGAAGGGGTGTACTGTATGTGTGCTGTACGTGCAAACACAAAGCACCCTGTATTTAACAATACCTTCCCCACTCACCCAACCCCCCCCCCAAAAAACAAAAAAAAAAGTTTAACACTATTTAAGTACTGTATAATACGATAATTATTTATATTAAATATTATATCTAATATACACTAGTTTTTAATGTAATATATATAAAGAATAATAATAATAATAAAACACGACTTTTTAACTAATTTTACAAAAAAAAATTAATATTATATTATAATAATATATATTGTTTACAAATTCATACCTCCCGTCCCCCTCACATATCACCGTCGTATATATATATATATATATTGATATTTAAGGTAGTATTTAGTAAAAGCATATATTTTATACACATATACCGTTTGGCAGCCCTCCCTATTTCCTCCCTCCCCTCCACTCTCTTTTAGTTTGCAATCACCCCTTAAATATGAATTGGCAACAGATGTGTGCCATTTTCGGCGTCTATGATATAATTTAATATATTAGGTATATATATATATATCAATATATTTATTAACTATATATTTACCAACTAATGAACCATTCAATGTGTGTGTGTGTGTGTCTAAGCATCGCTAATATAGTTTATGTCATTACACTAACACACACACACACACATTATATATATATATATACATAGACACACACACACACACACACACACACACACACATATATATATATATATATATATATATATATATATATATATAGACTGTAACAGTATATATATATATCTAAAACACTTTAAGATATCTAATGATTAATTTATTATACGTAAAATATCTACTAATAAGCTGTCAAATACACTGTGCATACATACAGTATATATATACTATACTTAATTATAATTGGGTTCAATAGTCTCACTCATTATTTGAGAGTAACAAATTTGCTTTATTATAAATATTCATAATGCATATTATAAATTAATATACAATTATATACACAATTTTAATTTTAAACAACCGAAAAAAATAAACATTGGTAAAATTCTAAGTTAAATTTTCAAAAAAATACATTTTTATTATTACTAAAAATTTTATAGATAATCTTGTTCACTCAATCTAATGTAATATAAAAAAATAATTTATAAATAAACAACTTAATTTTAAAATTAATAATTATTTACAGTTTGAATATTAAAATATGATATATAAATATACTGTATGTAAATATGATTATTTAATAAGTTTATAATTAGATAGTAATAGATATTTAGATTGAATTATCAAATTAAAAAAAACAACAACACTATAGCTAAATAATAATACTGTAATACTTAATAAAAAATACCTTTAATTTTATATACATATATATATATATACCGTATATTATCTGTAAACTTATATTAATATCTATAACTATATACTTTAGGACAGTTAGCTATTTATTAAATTATTTTAAAATAAAGTACATAAAAAATACAATATCTATATTCTACTACTAAAACTACAAATACTACAAAAAATTTATGATAAAATTTTATACTAATAATAAACAGTAATTAATAATAAACAGGACTTACAGGTGACTTGCAATTGGGTAACGGTATGGCTATTACCCCTACCGAAGGCATTCTTCATATGGCAGCTATAGTTAGCCGTATCCTCTCTGTCTATGCCATTGATTGTCAGAGTAGGTATACCCCTGACATCTGTGCCCGACTTTATCTTATTATTCATAAACTTTTTGTTGCCTATTGTTGTCGTTGTTGATGATGATGACGATGGTGTCAGTTGTTGTTGTTGTTTCAATTGATCCAATGGTTGGCCATTTTTGTACCAAACAATTTCGGTAACATTTGGCGGATTTGCGTCAAACGTACACCACATTTGTACCGATGACGACTCGTTTACCGATATAATACCCACGGGCTGTATGGCCACAGCTGGCGGATCTGTTATTTTAAGATTATAAAATAAATAATTTTATTAATTAATGAATTAATAGTTAAATAATAATATTAAAGTAAAAATTGGGTAAATTCTAATTATTCTATTTAATTAATTTTAAAAAAAAAAATTAAATAAATATTACTTAACAATATGATATACTCTATATAAAATATTTTTATTATTATTAGAAATAATTAATTTCATAATATATATATATATATATATATATTTGGTTTTGACATTTTAACTAAAAAAATAAATAAATAATATATATTTAAAATATGTTATTTTTAAATAAATTAATAATTTACAGTTTTTATAATAGGGTACTTATAATATTAATTGAAAACAATAGCATTTTTATAATTATATTAATATTATAAACTACAGTTTGCTAACATATTTTTTTTATACTATTATCAATTTTAATCAATTAATCAAACAATCAATCGATAAATCAATATTATTTAATCCATGATAATTAATTAAGCAATAAATAAATAATTAATAATAATACAGTTATTATTAGATTCATTACTAATAGTAGCAGTAATAGACATTTATTTTAATAAACTGTATAAATATATCAATTGAATATCAAACAAAAAATAATAAATTAAGTCATCATCAATGTTCAATTAGATATGATATTATCAATTGTTAGTTAGTTAGTTAACCGGTAATTAGAGGAACAGTAGTTAAGATTATTATGGGGAGACAGTAGTGCTTATGTATTCACAATTATCATCATTACAACAATATACTATTTAATGAACATCATCATCATCATCATCATCACTACTACCATGGTCATATATCAATCTGTATATATATATATAAAAGACATTAATCAAATTTAACATAGTGTGTGTATGTGTGTGTGTGTGCACCGGGAGATTTTTGTTTCACTTTTTTCAGTCTATCAGTGCTCATCACAACTACGAAAAAAATAAATAATATTACAGACAGATAGAGAGATTAATCTATTTATCTGTCAATACGGGAGAGACAGTATGTGCACACCCGGTATGTGCCTACAGTACTACACCCTATATATATATATATATATATCTGTAATATGTATGAATAACAACAACACAACGACAACTACCGGTGCTATATATGTGTGTGTGTGTGTGTAGCTATGACTGCCATATGAGACCAATACTGTTTTTTTTATTACAATAAGTATATGGTATATACAGTACAATATAGTAACAATAGTTTATGTTGTAAGACATCTAGAAAAAAAGTATCTTAATATACAAAAGTTATATTGTTTATTGAATACGATTGGTGGGGGGAACGGTAGGTTTCTTATATACCATAGTATTAGTAGTAGTAGTAGACAACTGTGCCGACAATATATGTGATTAATTCAGTTGTTTTGGTACAACATCTATAATAGACAGCAACAGTTCCCCCCGTTCTCTCTCTCTCTCTCTCTCTCTCTCTCTCTCTCTCTCTTTCATTCACTCATTCACTGTATATAACATATATCTCTATCACTACTATCTCTTAGAGAAAAGTGTCAAACAATCAAATAGTAAACGACAGCATCGGTTCAATTCAATACACACACACACACTGAGATAGACAACTGTCCTCCCGGTTCTCTCTCTGTCTCTCTGTCTCTCTCTTTCTTTCTATCACTTTTATTCACACACACACAAACATGTTTGTAAGCTACACACACACACATAGTACAATACGGTTTAATAATAATCGCCCGGTGCTCAATACGCACACACACACACTTTGCCATATTATATAATATATTAGACTATCAATTGAATTGTGGGGTTTTATTTAAGTCAAAGAAACTGATAGATCAGTGAATATATATATATATATATTTACTGTATATATTTTATATAGATAATATATCGTATAATATAAAGTATATCATTGTATAATACAAATCTTTATTATAATAATGCATTAACAAAAAATTGAAAAAAAGGATTTTACTAAAAAAATAAGTTTTCAGGCATTTAGTACATATATATATTACATAGTATTTTACTCATATTATTATTATTATACAAAATAATGTACAATATATTAAATATATATATATATATATAGATTCTGTATATATATATGCCCCTAAAACTACATATTGTGTAACAAAATTAAAGAGCAAACTATATATAACATCATGTATTGTACAATAGTATTATATAATATATATATATATATCTAATATTATGTATAAACTAAAATGTTTGACGAAAAATCTCAATTGAATTGAATTTTGATTTTTGCCTCAACTCTCTCTCTCTCTCTCTCTCTCTCTCTCTCTCTCTTTCTCTACTCATACATACACTCACTCACTCACTCACTCACTCGCTAACTAACTAGCATACAGTTTATACTGTAGTTACTCATACATCAAACAAAACCATACAATAAAATTAGTTGGAAAACCTCAACTCATTTATAATACTATATATATATATACTATAAAAGCATATAATTAAAAATTTTTACTTTCATCTAATAATAAATTTTTAGTATTCAATATAAGTTTTCACTATTATTTTTCAGTTTCATAAAACTTAAATGTCATATATTTATATACAGTATGTATCGTACTGTATATAACATGTATTTTAGTGTACATCCCACATGTTAGCTCATACATCATACACAAACATATCAAAACATAACTGTCCAATAATAATAATATACAGGTGATGCCATGGGGGTTGGGGTATTAGTTTCAAATAATTAAAAATAATTATTGTGAAATAATTATTTTCAAAAAAAAGTATTATAAATACAAAAAATTATATAATTTATAGATATTTTGTTTTAATTATTTTTTAAAAAAATACATTAAATTTTCTAAAAATGTAAACTATATTTAAATTTCGTATAACTTGCATATATTGAATTGCGGTTATTATTAGTATTATTATTATTATCTAAAAATTGTAATTTTTATTTTTAATAAAAATTTTTAATAAATTCATTGTATGTGTGCGGTTGATAGTGTCATGGGAATTTATTTAATAATAATATTAATAATAATACAGTATTTAAAAAAAAAATTATTAATTTTTTTATATAACTTGCAATTTAATATAAAACCATAAAATTATTATTATTATTATTATTAATTGTATATAAATTTATTAATAAAATTTTCATATGAAATGACATATTGTAGTCTTAGAAACATATATAACAAAAAAATATTATAACAAAAAATATTTCAAAAATTGTTAGGCTAACCAATTGTAAATTATTTGTTTAGTTTAATATTTATAATATATATGCTAAATATTTTATTAAAAAATTATTATAACATTGTAGTAGTAGTAGTCTAACTATGATATTATCACAGTATAAATGTGTTATTTATTTAAATATACTAACTAGTATTGATAATTTTGAAACAAAATAATAATAATAATAAAATGGGTACATATTTGGTTAAATAAGAGGACAGGGAGATGATTATGTTTGTGTGTGTGTGTGAGAGAGAGAGAGAGAGAGAGAGAGAGATAGGAGAAAAGGGTTGATATAAAATTTTGTTTACCAATTGTCTCTATAGTATAGTATATATATATATATATACTCTATATATAAAGTTAGGGTTAGTTATGTACAGTATGTATGTTATTGTGTTGATAATTAAATCACACAATTGTTTCGTCTCCTATTTATTCACATGAATTGTTGTTACATTTAAAAACATTTTTGAAAATCTCGGCCAAACATACATATGATATATACAATACTCTCTCTCTCTCTCTCTCTCTCTCTCTCTCTCTCTCTCTCTCTCTCTCTATGCTCTATAAGCTACTGGTCCTTCACTACTCTACTGTATATATATATATATATATATATATATATGTATGCCATCACTGTCTTCAACACATTTTCGCCAATAAATCTAAAATTAATTGAATTAGTGTTTACCAGTAGTACAGTAGTAGTAATAGTACTGTAGTTATAGTAATAGTGAAACACATTTTCTTACGTTTCACTAAACCTTTCATCTCTTAGGCCTTTTTAAACATCCATTCAATATATATATATATATATATATATATATATATATATATATATATATATATATATATATATATTGTATAGTAATAGTAGTCGTCTATAACATATTCAATACTATTTTCTACAGTTTTTCCTACCCCTCACTCATTCTACAGTATACGACAAACCAAAACCCTAAACAATAAGGTTTAGGCAATAGTGGTGTTGAATATCCGAGTGACTGATGACTCTACTGTACTATTAGATTGTTTAGTAATGGTAGGGAAAGGGAGACTATGTTTCCCATTGTAAGAGAGAGAGAGAGAGAGAAAGTGATTGAAAATTGTTTTATATATATCAATATATTGAATGCTTAATATATACGGTATATCTATCTATCTATCTATACATACATATATGGGTAGTCACGAGATATTTGTGGGTTAGAGTTAAGAGAGTGATATATAGAGAGGTGGGGGAAGTAATGGGTGAGAAAACCTATACACACCCCAACAAAATGGGGGGTTTAAATATATATATGGGGGTATATATTGATTCAATTGACGACACACACAATGTCAATGGTTTGGTCTCTCTCTCTAAATCAATAATAATGAAAATAAGGAGTATTTTTATCATTTATTTTTACTCTTTTTTGGCATAATATATCACATAACACATACACACACCCACTCATTCAATCATTCATACATGTAATGGCCGTAAACTATGCATACAAATCACTGATGATTGTGTATAACATTTTATAAGGAAAGAGAGAGAGAGAGAGAGAGGTCTATCATTGAGACAGCAATTGTTTTGCATATATTTAATATTTATATTTAATAATAAAAAATTTACACCTAAAATATAAACTCCAAATATTTATTAACAGCAATAATAATACAAAAATACTATACATTATTATTATTATTAGTAGTAGTATTTTATTATTATTATTATAACTATTAATATAAAAGCTATGATAAAAACAAAAGAT